TATATATATATATATGTAATATATATATATATATATATATATATATATATATATATATATATATATATATATTGAAAAGCGCTTAATGTCAGTGATAGACCTAAATATTTAGTTTGATTGATGTGAATTTCCTGCCCTTATGATTGTCAGACAAACTCAGTTTTATATATATATATATATATATATATATATATATATATATATATATATATATAAAATGAAAATATAAAGTTTGTCACTTATATGATTTGTGTTGCCTTCAGCATCCTGGCCCCAGAGTTTCGTCGACGGACCCTCAGCAATTACTCCATCCACTGACAGGAGGTATCAACTGTTGACCGATTATGTCTCTTGTACATATCAGTGAATAAAAGGAGAAAGTAATATACATTACTAAGTAATACTAGGAAGTAACACACACACACACACACATATATATATATTATTTCAAACGTTACTTTTAGCAGATACCCGTATTTGAAAATGACGCCCCGTTTTTTTTTATCTGTCAGCCTACATACTCAAGAAAAAATAAATATATATATATATAATGAATTAAGGGCTTTATTTTTAATCAGACATCTTTAATACTTCAAACTTTATTTTAAGTAGCTACTTGTATTTAAAATATTGTCCCCTTTTATTTATTTTGTAGTAATGTGTGTCACATCAATCGACCTGCGTACACGGGAAATTTGGTTAAAGCGGATGTGCTCTCCGACAGAATTTGAACCTGCATCCCTTTTTGTAGGAGAAACTACTGTTTGTCCCGGCATGCCTTAGACCGCCCGGCCACAGAGTGCGAACAGCCCAGCGGCATTCTATTTTCCCTCTTAAGTAAAGTACACTTCCTCGTTCAGAATATTGTTCTCGAAAGCTCTCACATCTGCTCAGTTTCGTCTCCGAAACGTATACCAAGCAATTTCTATACAATTAATGGATTTATTTTTAATCTGAGTTTTTATTAATTTAAGTGCGCAGGCCGATATATGCAATACACAGTGTTTAAAAAAAAATACGGCGTCTATTTCAAATATGGTTATCAACTAAAAATAAAGTTTGAAATAAGACAAATGTATATATATAGTTAAACCTAGAGAGCCAGACAAAACCTACCCAGGTTTCACCTAAGCGGATCGTCGCTTAGGTGAAACCTTGGTAGATTTGTCTGGCTCTCTAGGTTTAACTAGGTCTGCTCTACTCATTGTATTGGGCACTTTATTTAGTTATTTTGGGTACTCGCATCAGGGTTTTTTTCTTTGGGCCTTTGACTCGTATGCTGGACGATTATTTTCGGCTATCATTCATGTTCTTGGTTCTTTCTTTTTTTTATACCCTTTTTTTTCCCTTTGGTATTGGCTTGTTTATTTGCAAATCAAGACACCGAAGGTTTTCCGAGCGAGTATAGCTTCTTATACTTATAAGATTTCTATTAATAATAAATATATATATATATATATGCGTGTGTGTTTAAGTAATTATCTGCACGTGTGTGTGTGTGTGTGTGTGTGTGTGTGTGTGTGTGTGTGTGTGTGTGTGTGTGTGTGTGTGTGTGTGTGTGTGTGTCAATAATTTGTTACTCTATCAAAATTATGAACTGAAGTTGGATTTAAAATTTATATACATGTGTTGAGACTTGATGTAACATAGGTATGGTTCTACAGAGGGATACGGAGAATAACATGGGTAAAACATGTGAGCAACCTTGAAAATGCATGGGTCACATAATGAGGAAGAACGGCTTGGAGTATTTGACACTGACAGGGCGCATTGAAGTGAAAAACAGCGAGTAATCTAACAAGCTTGTGTAAATGGATGACAGGACAAGGACTGTGAGGGATAATAAAACGGTAAGTCTTAAAAGCTACAAAGGAGAGGAAGTTATGGAGAGCCATGATCATCCACGTCTTGAAGGAACGTAGCACATAAAAGAAAACAACCAATGATTAAATGATTTATTAACAGATCGCGACATCTATCAGAGAGATGAAATTTAAATTTTTATCATTGCATTATTCCAAAATTTTAACAAATCAGCAGATAAGCTATTAATGTCAAGAACTGAGCACAAATAGTTATTCATTAAAAATTACTAATTAATGTATAATATTATCCATAACTACACATACAAGATTGTCGTACTTGATAAAAGTTTAAAAAAATAAACATAAATACGTAAAAAATGCGTATATTGTTGAAAATTCCTTTTTCCACAATATAGATATTTGTGCTGTTATAATGCTTATTATCTAAACAATAATAATACTGATTAATTTTTTTTTAATATGAAAATATATTTAATCACATCTTCCTAATAACTGCCGCAATCTGTAAGTAATTCACACAAAGAACTGTAGCAAATAACAAAAACCACATCACGTGTGGACTTTCTACAATAACATGCAATGGGTCCATATAGGAGAAAAAGCCGTTTGCAAAGTCAAATTACTGTTTTTAAAGAACAAATTTCCCATGATTTCTCTAGAACGCTCATATCTGCTCGCAACATATCAAACGTAAACAAATGACATCATATATTATGAAATGGACTAACTCCGATAATTATTTTAATATAGTTTCTGTTTATATGTTAAGATACGCCTCAGGAAGATATGAGCATTCGAGAGAAATCAGTTAAAAACAATAATTTGACTTTGCTAACCAAACGATTTC